AATTTTAAAGCAATTTTTCTTTTCCTGGTCACTAATTGCAATCTTATCTTCTATATCTGAAATTCTATCCTCACATTGGTTCATTCTGCTATGTAAGCTTTCAGTGGAGTTTTTAATGTCCTGGAAATCTGTTTGCATCTGTTTGATGGATTCCATTTGTTTCCTCTGTTGGGATTCCATCATATTCCTCAGCTCCTCTATTTTAAATATTTATCTGTATCCTCTCTAGATTTATTAATCATGTCTTGCATTATGCGCACAACCTCTGTTGTTATCTGAGAAATTATTTCTGATTTCATTTTTTCCAGATCCTCTTTTGTTGCTGCTTCAGGGAGTCCAGGTGGTTGAGTATCAGAGTATTCCATCTCGTTTCCCTTTGGGGTTGCTTTAGGTGATCTGGAAGTCTGGTTTTGTGACTTGTTTATGTGTCTTCACATTTTGACGGGGGTGGGGGGATGCTGCTGGTGCCCACGTGGCTCACCTCCTCTTTGCTGGGAGCCGGGGTTGGTTGGCACAGAAGTCTCCTACTCTGTACTGGCAGCTGTGGCACGTTGACCCAGAAGCCTCCTCTGCACTGGGAGCTGTAGCATGTCGACCGAGAACTGTCTTTTGAGGACACTAATCTCACCCTTAGGACCTTTTAACCTGAGTTATCAGAAGCCCCGTCTCCAGATACAGTCACACTGGCACTGTACCATATGCATTTAGGGGAGACTCAGGCCATAACAAAATACTTTCTGAAGTACTTTCTTTTCTGAGTTAAGTGAAAATAAAGAGCAATTCTGAGCACCCTCAGTCTTATTACTCATCAAATAAGCAAAACTAGTTACTGAGAATTTACTAATTTTGTGTATTTCCAAGTCTGTTTACTACTTTTTTAATATTCCTAGGCTCTCAGTTTCCTATGACTTAATGTAGTTCTATGGGTGGCTGTAGTGTCTGAAAATGTCCGTGGTAATATGTCATGTCTTTACCTGTATTTCAGTCTGGGGGGACACTCTGTAGGACTCTAAATGGAAACTTCTAGTGAAGGACTCAGTGATGAGTGAGTAAAAAGAAATAGCAATTCTCTGATGCTTATGCTTTATCTTTATCATCGCAGCATACGATATTGGTTTTTATTTACTATGACCCACTTGGGTTTTCACTGCATTATTTTACTTTTTGTTTTATTTGACATTAATATTTTTAGTGCCTACAGTGTACCAAATATTGTTGTAGGTCCTGGGAACACAGTAGTTAAGACAAATCTGATCCTAGTTCTTTTGTAATAGTGGAGGAAATAGACAGCTATTGAAATTGTTGTGAGTGCTGAATAGTTTGCAGAAAATTTTTTATAATGGTAAGGTGATGCATGTGATCTTGGTTTTGGAGGAACAGTTGGATCAGGGCAAGTGCTTCTGAGGAGAGAATGTTTGATGAGAGACTGAATGATGAGAAAGAATGACAGACAGAGATCTTTTTTTTTTTTTATTAAATTCTTTTATTGGTACATTGTAGGTATGCAACACAATTACATTTC